ACTCTTCACAGGGGTGTCTCGTTTGTGAATTTTGGTTTAAGCTACCATAGTTCAAGGAATTGAGAGTTTTTACTATATAAATGTAATAAACAAATATTTATTACATTTATATGGTGAATGTATTAGATGCTATTAATTGTGGATTGAAAGAGGCAGTGAGCTCAGGGCCCTTGGCCAGGCTGATGAGAATGTGCCTGCAGCACACGCCACACAGAGCAAGAGCCGAGTGCACAGACATTGCTGTGGCATGTTACACGGCCAGCCTCCTGGCGCCCTCTCGCTGCGTCCTGGCCATCGGTCAACGACCTTTTCAGTTTTAGACAAGGGAAGAAGGCTCTTTTGGGCAGCCAGGGGAGTTTGTGTCATAAAGACCTTGAATGAGTGATCAATACAGATTGATATTCATTGTTTCTTGATGCAGAGAAGCTTACTCTTACAATTATTTGGTAAATCTGAACAACAGTGAGATACCACTCCACGCACTACTATCAAAACTCAGACAATGACAAGTGTGGTGAGGACTGAGACACTGGCACCCTGGCAGCGCAGGTGGGGGTCAGTGCGGCGGCTCCTCAGATTAAACATGGAATCAGTGCACGGCCCAGCGGTCCCGCTTCCGAGTGTCCGCACAGAAGAACTGAAGGCTGGGCTCGGAGACATGCTCATAGCGTCATTAGTCACCATAGTCCAAAAGGCGGAAACAACTCAAGTGTCCATCACAGATGAATGGATAAACAAAACGTGGTGTATCCACACAGGGGAATACTACTCAGCCTTAAAAATGTAAAGAAATTCTGGCACATACTACAACATGGATGAAACTTGAAGGCATTATGCTCAGTGAAATAAAGCAGACACTAAAGGACCACCATCGTAGGATTCCACTCACATGAGGTACTAGGCCAGTGCAATTGGCAGGACAGAAAGTAGAACAGCCGTTACCAGCGTTTAAGGGACGGAGACTGGGAGTTACTATTGACTAGGTAGAGTTTCTGTTGGGGATGATGAAAAACTTGGGACTGGATTGTGGTGGTGATGGTTGTGGAATAATGTAAATGTACTTAATGGCACTGAATTGTACAATTTAAAATGGCTTAAAGGGGACTTTTTTTAATGTTGATTTGTTGCTGAGCTCGCTGAGGCTCTGAAATGAACCTGGAAGGGAGGAGAGAGCCTGCACTCCACAGGAAGGTCGTTCAGCAGAGCTGACGCAGGTGGAGTCTCCCCTGCAGCCCAGTGAGACCGAGCGCACAGCAGTCTTTGATGTCGTTCAAAACAAAACCGGTGCACTCCTGCAGCAGGAACCTCTTCTCCAACATGCTGCATCCGTAGGGCCATTTCCTTTACTCTGAGTCCAGCAGGCTTTTCTCTGATACTCTGTCCTTTGATGAGCAGAATCCAAAAAGCCCTCCAAACTCAACAGCTTAAGTACTGATGAGTCAGAGCGTGGTGCCTCTGTGAGACTGGGGTCAGCGAGGAGAGTCATCTTCACGAGCCATGTGGACGCTGAGGTCTGCCCCCGCCCAGTCTCTGACTCCTCTTAGGGAATGAGCTGGGACTAGGGGGGGGGGCGTCCTTGACCCCCGAGTCCAGAGTACCCATAGCCATTCAGCAGTCATGCTGTGACGGTCATCTTGAGAGGCTTGCTTGAGGGAAGACACTAAAAGTGGGTGCCAGGAAAATTAAAGCTGTGCCAGCCCCTGGGCACAGACAGCAGAAGTGAGGCTGCAGCTTCCACCTGCATGTTCTGGTGTCTGAGCTGGAGCACGGTCACTACGACCTCCTATCACAACCACTCACACATTTCCCAAGACATACTCGAGTCAAGACCTAGAACCCAGCCTTGTGGTGCTTAACACAGAAGACACCCGGGGCTGGCGTGCAAAGGGTTGCCTCTGGAGCACACTGAGGCCAGGGCGGCCACCAGGTGAAAGTGCGGGACCCTTCCCCGATGCACACAGGGGAGCAGGTGCTGGGAATAGACCGCTGTGGGGGCCACTGCAGGCTGCTGTTCTGCCTGCGACGGGGCCACCTCTCCTCCCAGGAGCCAGATGCTCCCCCTTCTCAGAGCACTGTCTGCTCATTAGCTACAATTGTTTTATTCAGTTCTGTACATAAATGTGTGTGTGTTTTATACACATAGTAACAGAATTAGAAGTGATTTTAACTTTTTTTTTGCTTATCTGCTTTTCAGCAATACATTGAAAGTATATATAGAGACATTGCCCTGGCCAGGTGGCTCAGTTGGTTACAGCATCATTCCCATGCACCAAAAGTATAGAGAGAGAAACAGGATATATATTCATACAAAATATATAAAATGACCCAAGCTTTCTTAGCCTCCCTGTGGGGCGCACTGGGCAGAGGAGCTATCTCCTCCACTGTGTATCTCTTCAGACTAGACTCACTCTCTGTGGGCAACTTTTTTTAAAAAAAAAACCTTCCCCAAGGATATTTCTCCATTTATCCTCAGATACAGTGGGAGAAAGGGAGAGAGAGAAAGAAACAGCTCTGTGAGAGAGACACATCGACTGGCTGCCTCTCGCACGACCCGGACAAGGGCCGGGGAACGAACTGCAACCGAGGTACAAGCCCTTGACCGGAATCGAACCCACAATTTGGGCCAATGCTCTAACCACTGAGAAAACCAGCCAGGGCTCTGTGGGTGATTTTCTCATCAGGCTCTTGCTGCAGGAGAGCGAGTGTCTCTGTTTCCGCCTTCGGAGCCTTGACTTAGGTTACAAAACCGATGAAAAGTGGAGATGACAGCAGTAGCTCAGGGTGCCTACGGATGGCAGGACTTACTGGAAGGTGATGCTGCGTAATTCTCAGAAAAGAATCATCCCCATTTCAGGCTCCTCCTAGATTTTTAAAGGAACATTAAACAGTTAAGAAACTGTGCCACCATTTCCATGTTTCTCCAAAACATGTATAAAATGTGAGAATCCAGAACACAGTTCCCAAGCTTTGGATGCGAAACACTCAGCCATGAATGATACCCGGCGAAGCTCCCCGTGGGCGCTGCGCAGCGGTGATCCAGGCTACGTGTGGATTTGAACAAATCCACACATTCTGCAGAGGGTTTACACGTAAGCTGAGCTTGCTCATCTCTGCCTGGCTATTGATCCTGGGGCCAAATCATATTTGTGATAAAAGGAAAAAAGTCCAGGTCAGTTAACCACACAACAAAAGCTAAATAAAACCATGGGGACATTCCTGTGCTGCTTAATAAGACTCAAAGTTTCTTAATCTCATGGAGTAGCAGATATTACTTGGGGGAATTTCAGGTGTTTGTGCTAAACTCTGGGATTTAAACAACAAACCTTTCTGAACATGGGTACATTTGCCTGCAGCCACGCAAAGCTAAGACAGGCAGTGTCTTCAGAGGACCCAGCAGCACAGCTGGGGGAGGCGAGCCGGCAGCTCACAGGTGAGTGCCGCTCTGTGTGCCCAGCAGGACCTGCCCTGAGCACATCTGTCCGCCTCCTGGAGCTGCCCCTCACGCCCTGCCTGCTGGGCTGGCCTTGTAGGCACCTCGAGCTCCCAGGCCACCTTACCTGCGCTCAGGCCACTTGGAAGTGTGCACACTGTGTACTATCTAGAACTGTATTCTGATATCTTAAAACTGACACATGCAGCCATTTAAAAATGCATAGAAGAGCATATGATAACAGAAGTATGCTCACTGTATCCTCAGTACAGAAAGCAGATTACAAAACAATATAACTCTTTCTTTGTAAGAAAAACAAAAGAAATTTAGTAAGAAAATGAGAGTGTCTACATATCTGTAGAAAGACTGGAAGGATAGCCAGTGTGTTAACAGTGATTCGACCAGGTGGTAGAATTACAAGTGATTCTAACATGTTTGGTTTGTCTGCTTCTGAACAGTGAACATGTATTACTTTGGCCCTGTATCCACCCCCTCAGTTTTGGTGACAGTGAGCAAGCTAAGTATGATATAAAATGTTAAAAATAGCAGTAGTGCCCTGGCTGGTTTGGCTCAGAGGTTAGAGCGTCAGCCTGTAGACCAGAGACCCGGGTTCGGTTCCTGCTAAAGGCACGTACCTTGGTTGCAGTTTGTCCCAGGAGTGAGTGGCAGCCACTCAATGTCTCTCTCATCTCTCTCTCTCTCCCTCCCTCCCTCCCTCCCTCCCTCTCTCCCTCTGGCTCTATCTGAAGATAAATGCAAAAAAAAAAAAATAGCAGTAGCTTCAGAAGGACCTTACATTTCTACTATTTGGGGTCTCGCGGGGGCCAGGAGCTTCACATTGGCTCTGGGACCTCGCGCGTCAGGCGCTGCTGGAGGCCAGGGGCTCCACAAGGTGTGTGGAAGGGGACCCTCAGCCTACGGGACAGGAGCCTCCCCGAGTCCATCAGTGTGCCCCTGATTTACTGCTTCGAGAAATGCTAATGCCCATAATCTCCTGAAATCAAAACCACTGGGCATGCCCACGTTACAAACTGAGGATGAACCAAAGACCAAAACCAAAAAGAAAGCTTTCCCGCCACTCACCCGCTGTTTGCTCCAACCATTTCCCTCTCGCTCTGTGCCTAGACTCACCTCAGGAGAGGACTGGCCGCACGGGTGTCCTGAGCCCAGCGGCCAGGTGGTGTTTGTCACAAAACAATGAACAATGCAGAGGGACCTGTTGGGCCCTGGCTGGTTGGGTCAGTGGTTAGAGCATCGGCCCATGGACCAGAGAGTCACAGGCTCAATTCCAGTCAAGCACGTACCTCGGTTGCGGTTTATCCCCAGCCCTGGTGGGGGTCAGGCAGGAGGCAGCCAATCAATATATCCCTCTCACACCGAAGTTTCTCTCTCTCCCTCCTTCCTACTCTACCTGAAGATAAATAGAATAATATCCTCGAGCGAGGATTAAAAAAGAAAAAAAACAGAGGGAGAGGTTTGCTTCCCATTCTCCCTCCTAGGCCACTGCTCGTTCCCCTCCCCCACCCACCGGGTCGCCTGCTCAGCTGTGTTTTCCCTTCTTGTCTTGCAGCCCGCCTAAACCCACCGTGTTCATCTCCGGTGTCATCGCCCGGGTAAGAGCCTCCCTCACACAGGGCCTCAGCATGGGGTCGTCGTCCCTTCTGTCATCAAACCCATTCTGTCGGGGCCAGAGGTGCTGACGGTGAGGAGCTCTGGACAGTGAGTGCGCCGTGCACAGCCTGAGCGGGAGCGCGCCTCTCCCCCTTCACCTGTGTCCCTTCTCTAGACTTGTCCAGGGGCACAGCCACCCACAGGTCAGGTGCTCCAAGAGGCCCCTCTTCTGGTGGGACCCAGCATTTTGTAACCACAGACCTCCCAGCAGCTAACTCTTGTGGTGAGGGGGACATATTAACACCACCCACAGCTCTGTGGCTCAGGGTTCATCTGCGCACTAGCATATGGTGTGTAAAGAAAATGTCATTGCCAGGGACAGCTCCCCACAGCCATCCAGAGACACCAGGATAGGCAAGTGGCACTCTCTTACATGGGAGAGAACTAAGTGCAGACCCAGTTTGAGATCAGCCCTGGCCAGTTGGCTCAGCCAGAGCAGCCATGACTCCAGCCTGCCCAGGTGGGTGGCCCCACCCCGTCACACAGGTACTGTAGGCACCTGGTGATCCCTCCCTCCAAACAGCCAGTACCTGCTCCGGGACTTGGAGGTGCTGTCTCACACTTCCGCCCTGCCCTGTGGGTTTCCTTCCCGACCCTGCACTTGTTTCTGTCTGGCCCCAGTTCAAAAGAATATGAGAGCAGCTGTAGCAGAGGAAAGGCACCCAAACACACTCAGTTCCTGGTGAGTCAGGTCTCATGGCAACCTGATCTCATGGCGTGGGGGCAGAGACAGCGAACATCCTTACCTTCTGGGGGTGCATAGGCCTCAGTGCCCCTTCAGCTCCACAGAGACCTTCAGGACCCCCACAGCCCCAGGAGACAGGCTTCTGCCGGCCCACAGGTCCCCATCCCATCACCCGAGCTGCAGGGACACAGAGGACAGAGGACTGGGCTTTTCTCCTGCGCAGACCCAGTTGTTCAATGTTGATAAACCTATGCACTCCTCTGTCTCCACCAGGGCGACAAAGACTTTCCCCCGGCGGCTGCCCAGGTGGCTCACCAGAAGCCCCATGCCTCCATAGACAAGCATTCGTCCCCAAGAACCCAGAACATCCAGCAGCCTCGCAAGTGACCGGCGAGGACCCGCCCTCCCCAGCAGTGCCTGGGTCCCGACACTCGGCATTTCCCCAGCAAAGAGAACTGCATTTTCTTCAAAACACTTTTCCCTTCCTTTGTCTTACATTTCCATGTCAAAGCTAAAACAGACCCCAAGCCTTGTTCCGGGGAGTCCTGTTTGGTGCCTGGGGGTCACTGCCATCCGCAGAAGTGGCCGAGCCCTGAGCAGAGTGCAGCTGCTCCCAGTTTAGCTTTAGATCTATTTCAGCACCTGCCTGATTCCCGCCTGTGGTCTAAAAACAAGAGGGCGCACATGAGGGAGGGCTGGATTAGGGTTAGGAGGAGAGCTCAATCATTTCATGCTTTTTAGTACTTGGACAATAAATACAATCTTAATACCTAAGGGAGCATAAGAAGAGGGTATTAGTTACAGGGGTGGGTTTCAGAAAGCCAGAGCGAAGAAGACTTAAAACTAACCACAGGGACCGTGAGTGTCACTCCTTGTGTGACGAGGGGTCCCTGTGCAGGGTGACGCCAGGCAGTCCCAGGAGGACCAAAGAAAACCTTTTATCTTTGAAGTGGCTTTTATTCCAGGAGTCATGTTGCTGAAAAATTAGAGAGGTAGTTTGCCCAAAAGTAGTGCTTCTGGGATGAGATCGCAGGGTGGGTCCCGAGCCCAGCGCTGCCGCGCCATCAAGACAGGCTTCACCTGCGTGTCTCCTCACTCACCGCTGGAGGTTTGTTTTAGTTCTGGAAGTGATCCCTGACCAAGTGGAGTAACAGCCGTGTAGCCAGCTCTGGACCACTGTAGCAAGAGTGTAGAATGCATACAGACAGAATTGAATGCGGGGACCAGACCAAAACCTGCCTTTGTCTCTTTAGCAAGAGATGGAAACACCACATTCCCGTTGAGCTAGAAAAACCTGTTTGTCAGTCAGTCAACTGCCCCGAACTCCTTTGCCGGGTGCACGTTGGCCTGGGCCACGTGCATGTGGGCGGGCGGAGGGGCCCTCTGCACGCCTTCCTGCCCAGAGCCTCGACTGCCCTCTGCTCATAGCTGTGGAGGGCCCCGCTTTTCTGAAAAGCTAAAGGGCACCCTCACTCATGTTCAGATCTTCCCGAGTGGATGCTGCAGGAGAGGGTGCGGCCCGACCGCCCTGCACCCACAGTGGCGACTGCTGCAGGCCGCGGTGTGCTGGGCAGCGCGCCCGCCACCAGCCTCGGGGCCATTGTCCAGTCCACGGCTGCGGCTGGAGACGGCGCAGGCCCCGTCAGCGCCCTGCCCTGCCCTGAGGGACAAGCTGCCCTGCACTCTGAAGGCGGTGCTTGGGCTCCTACCCCGCGACTCGCGGAAGCTGGCGGCTAACCTTCAAGGTGCCGCGTCATCACACCTGGTGGTCTTAATCCCGAAGTGTTGGTGTACAGTGAGGCTGGCTTTTGGAAAGGCACCCTCGTGGGCTGCACTGTCGTGAGGCACACTGAGCAAGCGGCTCCCCGCCCCCCCAGAGTTGGCATCCCAGAAGGGGCGCAGGGCAGGCAGCGCCCAGAGGCCTGTGCCAGCCGTTGCAACTCCACTGCAGAAATTCGGGGGCGTTGCTGATTCTGGGTTTTGCAGCCAGGAGCTCCGTGCCGTTTCCCAAGGTGCATATTTCACGCACTTGTAGCTGCATCTGGCACGCATCTGTGGGCTCGGGGTCACTGACAGCACAGCGTTTTCCTGAGTGAGTTTATCAATTGTTAATTTCAAGAATAATACTGATTATAATAAAGCCACTGCATTTCTTCTCATGGTTTGTGTTTTCTCATATTTCAGAGTTTTCTCTTACATTTTACTAGGGTTGCCAGATGGTTTTTATAGAAACACAAACACTCATGCACGATGGGTATTTTCACAAATTGCACAGACACAAAGTCGAACTATTGGACATGTGGCACTTCGAGTCTAATCATCTACTTTAAAATGTCCTAAAATGGAAAAGCTTGAGGCAGTTGGTTAAAGTGTCTAACTTGGGCCTAGCAGCTGGCCCTGTGCTAGGGGCCCTTTGGGAACAGACTTAGGAAGGAATTAGCAGAAAGCCCAGAGGTGGCTGTGAGCAGCTTTGGACAAGACATTCGCTTTCTTCAGAGGTCTTCTGTAACCCGCATGAGCAGGATGCAAAAATAATCACAACTGTTCAACCTTGAGGTCCAGAATCAGATCACAGATTTGCACTGGGAGGTGCCCCAGGGGTCAGGTGAGGACCTGGGGTGTATTCTGATCTGAATGCTGACTCCCCTGCACGCAAGCACATGCCCTAAGTGTACCATTCTCTGTCCCAGTTCCTTCTCAAACTAGGAGTGGATGCACGTGAGCTCGTGTGTGCATCAGGGAGCAAAAACTGCGGGGCAGCACCTGGGCACCTTGAGAAAGGGCAGGGCTGCGGGGAGGGTCTGGGTGGGGAGGGGAGGCTTTGCCAGACCCAGCAGGTGTTTGATTAATTATTTTGAAAACATCTGCCACTTGCCCTGGCAGCCTGTGGGGCTCTTCTGCTGTTCTGCAGCTTTTTCCAACTACACAGCTGCCATGCTGCCTAAATGCCGCTTCTTACAAACTCAGAGCAAACCTTTCTCCCCAAGACCAGGCATCCTGCTTGCCTCTGCAGTATAAAAACAACAACAAATGCAGACATGTGTGACCCTCCCAGGAGGCATCTACAGTCATATGCTCCTGAACAATGGGGTGAATGGGTGGTGATGGTTCACCAGGAAACTTTGAGTACTTGGAATTTCCTCTATAGCTGTATTAGCCAGGGTTCTCCAGAACCAACAGGATGTGGATAGTAGGCAGGTAGGTACATAGATAGCTGATGGATAGATGATAGATAGATGATAGATAGATAGATAGATAGATAGATAGATAGATAATTTGTTTTAAGGAATTGGCTCACCTGATTCTGGAAGCTGGCAAGTCCAAAATCTACAGGGTGGGCAGGTAGGCTGGAGACCCAGAGAAGAGCCAGTGTTGCAGTTCAAGTCCAAAGGCATCCGCTGGTAGAATTCCCTTCCTACTCCAGGAACGGGTGGGGAGAGGTCAGTCCTTGTTCTACTAGAGGCCATGAACTGATTTGATGAGGTCCACCACCATTATGGAGGACACTGCGCCTCTCTCAAAGTTCACTGATTTACATATAAATGTCAACCAAAAACACCCTCACAGAAACATCTGAAATAATGTTTGACCAAATATCTGGACACCGTGACCTAGCCAAGTTGACACATGAAATGAACCATCACCACACAAATTCATTGCTGCTCATTTTTCTTAAGACCCTCACCGCATCTGGGATCCATTTTCATTTGGACCACGTTGAAGCATCCGCACGTCTTACAACTTGTCTAACACTGGACTCCCAAACAGACTTCCTAAAATCCAATTAAGGGCACTTATAACAAGAAAATCATTTTATCATCTTTCCCTTTAATCCTAAATATTATTATAAATCCAACTGCCATACTTTCAAAAAGAATCTAATTTGTCAACTGGAAAAGACCCAACACGATAAAATATATTGAACTGATACAATCTGGAGGATTCGGAACTCTACCCAGAAGCCCTGAATGAGCTTTTCTATTACATTTCAGTATTGTTGTCTTTGCTGCGGAGGGTCACCTAAAAAAGAGAGTCCAACTTTTTGTAGCATAAAGGCTCAGCTTCTGTACAAATTGCCAGAAACCCGCTTGTGTTATCCTTTAAATAGAAATGGTCTGAGAACTTGGATGTGCTCAGGGTTCTAACAATGATGTTCATTATCTCTAGGGTAGTGCTTTGCACCTGGGGACGATGTTGCCCTCAGAGAACACTAGACAAAGTCTGGCGACATCTTTGGTTAACATACTAAGGATTGGAGAGGGATGCTAATGGGCAGCATCTAGTGAGCAGAGGCCACGGATACTGCTAAAAATCTCACAGTCCACAGGACAGCCCCTCCACAAAGAATTATCCAGACCCAAATGTCAGCAGTGCCGAGGCTTAGAAATGACCCTGTTCTAGAAGCCCATACTTATAATAATGCAACTAAACAATTAAAGGCCAATTGTTCATGCTGGAATCTTGAACAAAAAAAAATCCATGTGTTCAGTGGCAAGGATACTGACGTGGAAGCAGCTAAAGCTCAAGCTGTTTCTGCTTCTCAGTCCCTGGAGCAGGAGATAGCAAATCTCTCCGATGCAGATGTGCCCCTGGGTGCACTGGGAGCTGTTAGATGAAGCAAGCCTTTCCCTGCGGGGAGGCGCGGCGGCTCCACAGCGCCAGGGTTGTTAGATCAGTCAGCGATACGAAGAAGAACAGAGATCAATGCTCCTCCGTGGCCTCCTGGCACACTCACCTAGACAAGCACAACAAACACCTGGGTTTTTGTCTGAGCGACTTAAATATTCTCAAAAGAAGGTCTAGAAACCTTCTTTTAAATGATTCCAGCCTATTTTCCAAAATGGACCATGTGTGTCTCAAGGTGATTAACCTCAAGGTTATCAATAGACGCAGCAGAGTGAAGAGCAAAAGAAGACAATGGGCGCCTCCCTGCAGAGCGAGCAGCTAGGCATGAGGTGAAGGCCAGGGACGGCAGCTGCCTGCATCCCTGTCTCCTAGCACAGCCTCCGCCACCCAGCACCCCCTCCACAACTCCTTGTTTCCACCACAGAAGGAGGAATAAAAGCCTAGCTGTGAACTCTTGGAGAACAGCACATTTAAGCCCCTACCACTTCCCCATCACCCCCACTACCTAGATTGTAGACTTGGAATACTGACATCCTTTCTGTCCCTCAGACCCTGCAGATGTCTGATGCAACTTTTAGCTGCAACATGTACAACTGGATGACATCACGTGGGACATAAAAAAACATTTCAGAACATGAGATGGAACAAAAGTTTGCAGAAGTCACGTGTTTCATCATAAAACTCTCTACCTTTGGTGCAATGCTGACTCTTCCTCAGTATTGCCAGGGCTAAAAACTTTCAGGTTCAGTCACTTCTGAAAAGCACTATTTCAAGGTGCCATTGCTAACTGGGGAAGCCCTGTGTGGCTACAGAAGTCATTTGGTATCAATGAGCCCCACTTTCGGTTAGGTTAAGACTCACCCCAATTCCGGTTACCAAGATGAATGACTATCAGATGTTGCATCATAGCAGAACCAAAATGGAAGCTGAAACCAGAGCAGTGTGGGTGAGCAACTGTCCTCCCCCAAAGAGACCAGTGTGGGAAACCCACCCCCTGAAGTATGCCTCTCAGACTACTGCAACTGGGCCTAGAAGGCAGATTTAGAAGGAGAAAGTCTCTGAACAAAAACAAAACCTAAGAAACAGTGTTTGGAATAACCAGAAGTCAGATTTCCATAAAGCATAATAAGAAAACCCCCTCAAATTACATGTAACGTCACATCATAGATATTTAACAGCCCTAAAATGATGCTAAGCCGGTCATGCCAGTTAAAATAAGTAATGGAGTCCTTCCTGTATTTATTGTTTGATTTTTCACAGCTAAAGTTTTTTTTCTTGTCTTAATGCTAATTTTTTTCAACCTAATAGGTTGGGTTATTTAACCAGCCTTCTAGAGGCTCTTTGGCATACCAAAAGGATTCCCCAAAGAAAGTTATTCTAGGAAGCAACCACAAAACCAAAAGATTATTGCTTTAAGGCACAAAACTGTTGCCAAGTCTAAGAAAGAGATCTGGCATTAGTTTGATAAACAAGAATTTTCCACAAGGACAATTAGATAGCCTGAATATAAGATAATGATAAATGAGCATTTATTAAGTAATACTTTGTTTAAACTATATAAACTTAACCGGAGTTACACTATTTTTCATGAATCACAAAGGCATCAAAGTAGACAGAGTTCCACAAGAGTAGATTCTAGACCTTAACCACCACCACCACCATTATCAGCACCATCAGCACCATCACCATCATCATTACCACCACCACCATCACCTTATCACCATCATCATTATTATCATCATCACCACTACCACCACCACCACCACCACCACCATCATTATCACCACCACCACCACCACCATTATTACCATCATTATTATTACATCATTATCACCATCATCGCTGCCATTATCATTCTCCTCATATTTATTGAGTATTTGTGATGTGCCAGTTACTCACAGCAAATCTACCTAGTAGACATTGTTATGATTGCAGTTATACAGATGAGGAAATAGGCTTAATGTGGTAAAATAATTTAATTTATATAGCTAGTATGTGGCAAAGCTAAGACCAATCTGACACCAAATGCAATGCTTTCCACCACCAATCTTTAAAGAGCAGAGCACTCCATTGCCATTTCTGCACTCAATTCATCCTCCACCCGTCAAATTTCCATTCCAACTCTCTGACCACCCAATCATTGCTGGTGTCCTTTGTCTTTCAAAGACCTCAGACATTCCTCTGCCTAGATGGCTCCTGTCAACCAGCAGAAGTTATCACAGATGACAGAAGGGCCCCCAGAGGTGGAGAAAGAGAGAGGTCCTCTAGTTGCCGAACATCTAGATTGGAGCTTCAGAGCTGCTTAGGTTCTGCCTATGTAATGTAGCCCCAATAAAAACTCTGAACACTGATGCTCAAGTGAGCTTCCCCGATGGGCAGTACTCCATACATATTGTCACACATCAATGGTAGGAAGGTAACACATCCTCAGGACAGTGAAAGTTTCATGTTTGGAACTCTCCTGGACTCTGGCCCACGTATATTTTCTTTTAGCTGATCTTAATATGTATCCTTTCCCTGTAATAAATTAGTA